GGGCCATGGGGGGAGGGATTCAAAGAAGAGGAGGGATGCAGTCAGGGGTTGGTTGTGGAGGCCTGGGAGAAAGGGCAGAGCAGAGAGTGAAAAAGGACAAGTGCAGTCAGGACCACCATTCCCCAGGTGCTGTGAAAGGCAGTGGTAGGTGGCTGCACAGCAAGAGAAGCTTAGCCTCCTTTGGCCTATTATACCCAAAACCTATGATATCCTCCCGTAGGGGATGCCAACATTTCAACATTTGTTTTAATCCTGAATTCGGATGAAAAAATTAAATTTCAAAGTTTTTTGTGGAAAGGAAATTTTGATCAGGAAATACAAACATTTCTTTTTGACATATTTGATCAAGAAATTAAATATTTTGCTATTCTGGAAAACAGAATGTTTATTTTGGTTTATTGAACTGACAGAAAATGCTTCATTTTGAATTAGTTCAATAACAAACTGCATTTGCTCATAGTAGTACATTTCTTCATGGGAACTATAGTACGAGAACTTGGGGGTTCTTGTATTCCCCTAGAGTTCAGGTCTACTTGCCCAAATTACATTTTCTATGTTTCATCAAGTCACATTTCTCTCATAATGCACCATATAGCTCAGAGACAAACCCATAATGGGAGATGTAATTGCTCTGAGGAATCCAGTCAATATTAAGAATGGGTGCCAGAACAAGTCTCTTTAAAAAACAATGCATTGTAAGGGAAGTAGTCTTGACACAGTTAATTCAGATTCATTTTGACTACAAAGGTTTTGTTTCGAATCACTTCAACAAAAGATTGATTAATTCATTTTAGGTTAAGCTGATCCAAAATTTAATATTTAATTTAGATTTTCCTCAACAGAAAAATCAAAAGTTTTCAGAAAAACCAAATTTCTCAGAAAAAAAAGTCTGAATTTTTAGGAGCTACATTTTCAAGGAGAAAACCAATTCCAATGGAAAACTCCCAACCAGCTCTGAAATGCAAATATATTAACAACATAGTGAAAATCAAATTACTGTTCAGACTGCTTGCATTTTTATGTAAATATAGTTGGAGAGGGGATTAGGCTATGATTTTCAATAACATTTAGTTTAGTACAATGGACCATACAGCATCACTGGTTCTGATGTCAATATAGACTTCTGCATAGGAATCAATGACACTATATTTCCCTTTGTATTTTATAGTCATAAATAAGCTTTACTGGAGGACATGAGACACAAGAGGCCTTTGCTATACAAATATAATTGACATTAACTGGTAACATTAGCAGCTGTCTCAAAGAAAATGATTGAAAAGTTGTTGAGAATTAAGGGTATGTCAACACAGCAAAGTTTTTTCATAACAACAGCCGTTATTTTGAAATAATTTTACTAGCGTCTACACAGCCAAACCGCTATTTCAAAATTAATTTGAAACAGCGGCGTGCTTATTTCGAATTTGGTAAACCTCATTCCATGAGGAATAACGCCAAATTCGAAATAGCTATTTCAAAATAAGTGCTGTATCGACACTTATATTGAAATAGGGGGCGCCTCCAGCCTTCCCAGGGTGCCCTGGTGGCCACTCCAGCCTCAACCAAGAACACTCCTTTCCCTCCCCGCTCCCCGGAGCCCTTAAAAAGGGGTTGACTCTGGCCACAGTGCCTGTGCCAGCTCCAAGACGGCCAGCCCAGAGCCAGCAGTCACTGCCCCTGACCCAGTGGACCCAAAACATGAGCCAACAAGCCACTGGCAGCCAGCCCTCCACCACTCCCAAGGAACAGTCTGCCAGCTCCTAGGAGCCTGCCAAGGCCCAGCGCGGCCGGGCACCTTCCTGGTCCAGGGTGGAGATCATGGACCTTATTCAGATTGGGGGGGGGGGGAAATGCCCCCAACATCCATGATCCCTGCACTAGACGGGGATAGCTGCCAGCCTGGCCACCAAAGGCCACATACAAACCCAGGAGCAGGTCTGCATGAAAATCAAGTTGGTCCGGAAAGACTCCCAACCCTGAGCTTCCCCTCCCCGTTTTTCCTCTTGATCCCCCCTTCCAGCTCTCTCCTCCCAGGTTAGCCCCTCCTCTCTCCCATCTTCTCTTCTCCCCTCTTCCACCTCCTTTCCCCAATATCACCAATTTCATTCCCCTCCCCCCAGCTTTGTTAAATAAAACATGTATTTTCATAAACACAAACACATTTATTTTATTTGACATCAGGAAGGGGGGTTAGGGAGGGGTAAGTGGAAGACGTGAAGGAAGAATGAGGCACAAGCCCCCAGTGGGGTACACCAGGGAGGCTCTTAGTGCTCCTCAGGGTGGAAGCTCTCCCGCAAGGCCTCCTGGATACTAACAGCCCCCCGCAGCCAGGTTCGCAGCAATGCATCCACGAGAAGCACCAGAGTGCCCACGGTCAGCTCTGGCTTCATGTTGCAGAGTGCTGTGGTGTCCCAAGTGAGGACAACCAGAGCACGCAGAGACAAAATGCTTTGCTGTCCCTCATCGAGGTAGGCAAGCAAGTGGGGAAAGCTGAGAACCAGCTGTCCGGGGTGGGGGGGGCCCGGCCCAGGTCAAACCCTGCCAGCACCCAGCCAGCAGGCCCTGCACCTGGCACAGCACAGAGCCACCCGCCCGATGTCCCCCAGCCCTCCCCCTCTTCCCGGGACCAGGCTGGTGGCTCCCGGGAGCTTGCCTGGGGCCACAAGAGGCAGCTGCCTGGGCTAGTGCGGACATCGTGGACCTCATCCATGCCCTCCGCACTAGGCACAGGAAAGTGGCCGTCTAGGGCTGCCAGCCTGGACACCCGGGAGCAGGTCTGCATGAAAATCAAGTTGGTCCGGAAAGACTCCCAACCCTGAGCTTCCCCTCCCCGTTTTTCCTCTTGATCCCCCCTTCCAGCTCTCTCCTCCCAGGTTAGCCCCTCCTCTCTCCCATCTTCTCTTCTCCCCTCTTCCACCTCCTTTCCCCAATATCACCAATTTCATTCCCCTCCCCCCAGTTTTGTTAAATAAAACATGTATTTTCATAAACACAAACACATTTATTTTATTTGACATCAGGAAGGGGGGTTAGGGAGGGGTAAGTGGAAGACGTGAAGGAAGAATGAGGCACAAGCCCCCAGTGGGGTACACCAGGGAGGCTCTTAGTGCTCCTCAGGGTGGAAGCTCTCCCGCAAGGCCTCCTGGATACTAACAGCCCCCCGCAGCCAGGTTCGCAGCAATGCATCCACGAGAAGCACCAGAGTGCCCACGGTCAGCTCTGGCTTCATGTTGCAGAGTGCTGTGGTGTCCCAAGTGAGGACAACCAGAGCACGCAGAGACAAAATGCTTTGCTGTCCCTCATCGAGGTAGGCAAGCAAGTGGGGAAAGCTGAGAACCAGCTGTCCGGGGGGGGGGGGGGGGGGGGCGGCTGCTTGGGGGGGGGGGGTGTCCCTTTAAGCACAGGCCTCAGATAGCCTTAGGCAGCAGCCACACAAAGTAACTTCTGACTGGATGCCCTGCCGGACATGGTTCCGGCTGGCCTTAAATGCGATTCAGCATCCACTCAGTGTGGACGTGCTATTTTAAAATAGCAAAAAGCTATTTTGAAATGCATTTTGTGTGTAGATGCATTATTTCGAAATAACGCTGTAGTGTAGACACACCCTAACTGTGTAGAGATAATCCTCCAGAATAAGATGAGGCATACTGTCAGAATTGTAACCTGCAGTAAGAAATATGGTTTTCAGTATCAATCCATTTAATTTTAATAGTTTTCTAAAAACAGAAAAGTTTTAAACTATCATCAAAGTTATCTATAAGAAGCAGCATGAAAAATAATCTGTTTAAACAGGCTATTTTAAAGTATTTTTTCTTTGTGAAATTTTCTGTTTAAGAATTTTATATTAACAAGAGTATGCAAAATCTTACTTACTTTTCTGGCATGATGAAGTGCAACAAAGACCAGAGCTCTTTGAGGGAATTCTGAAGAGGAGTTCCAGTGATAAGAAGACGATGGTTCGACTTAAAGTCTATTAACGTCTTATACAGAAGGGAATCATCATTTTTTAAACGATGAGCTTCATCCACTCCTATAAATGCCCAATTTAGACCGCCAAGAAAAGACTTAAAAAAGAAAAGAAAATTATGTAAAGGAAGCTTAGAATAATGGAGACAATACAAATTGTCTACAATCAATATTCAAAACTTAAACTGACCGCTAGTTCTGCCAGTCCCTTTTCACATGTCTAAGACAAAACTGAGTAACCAATGACTGGATATAATGTTCAATAACAAACCTTTAAATAAATGGTATATGGACACCAGTGTATTTTAATGTTGAAGTATGTCTTTGAAGTTAGCTGAGATCAACAGCAGGAAAAGAGTTCTTAATTATATAATTAGCTGAAATGTGAACTATTCCAACAAAACTCAAGCCTCAAGAGGTCATTACACTACATTAGCTTTCCTCTGGTTCTGCAATAATTCAGAGGAATGCTATCACACATGAGGTAGTACAAGTTGAACCTCTCTAGTCCAGCACCCTCAGGACCTGATTTGTGTGAAACCAGAGAATTTGCCAAATCACAGGAGGTCAATATTGCCTAGCAGCATTACCAAGACTTTCACAGCATACTGTGCTCTTAAATGACATTTAGGGGCAAATTAAAGCTAGGTAACAACACAGAAATCTAACAGCCAGCACTGGTAACTGTAAAGAAACTTTATGGGACCACAGGAAAGTTGGCCATGCCCATGGTAAGTAGACATCCGGCTAACTAAAACTATGCCGGACCATGGATGTCGCCGGACCACGAGAGGTTCAACCTGTACAAGTTTCATTACAAAAAGAAGTCACCATGGTTCTCTTCTTCCCAGAATATATAAAACAGATAACAATGGGGGAAGGGAGGGAGAGAACATCACTTGCTGCAAGGACTAGGAAGAATAAGAGAAAACACTGTGAGTTAACCACAAAATAATTGTGGTATGATCTTCTGACATGCCATTCTGATGTTTGTATTGATAATTAAGGACTAAGAATTTTTTTTTTGTTTAAAGCTCAATTCTGAAGTTCTAAGCACACTGAATTCCACTCAGATATTTGGAGTGCCTAGAAACTGACATATGAAAACATTGCACTAATGTACATCATCATTATACACTGACCAAAGACTGCCATTGAATTATAGGATATTGTGCCATATCCATTACTCTCCGATGCCACTCCTCAAGGTTCATACCAAAATTGAAAGAGCAACAACAGATAGCAGTAGCACTAATAGCCTAGAGAAACAAATCTTAACATCTCACAGAAATTTAAAGAAAAAAAGCCAACTTGCCAAAGAAAATCTATCCTACTTATAAAATAAAGTGTGCACATTACCAGGAACCAAAATAAATGAAATGGCATGGACAACTCTGTATGTTGTGGTACAAGATAAATCAGGGGTGGGGAACGTCAGACCTGGGGGCTGGATGCGGCCCCTCAACTTGCCTGGATTCAGCTTCTGAGCCTCAGGACTCCCTCCACCGAATTGGGAAACCCGAGCTGGTGCTTCAGCCACCCCTGCTGCCATACCGTGGGCACTGAAGCACACAAAATCTACTAGCCTGAGCTCCCCTAGGCTTTTGTGTGTGAAGGAAGTGTAGGGAGTGTCTTTTTCCTTCTCTGTCAGGGGCCAAATCAGTGAGGGTTTGTTTTATTTTTTTGCTTCTCACTTGTGTGTGATCCCCGACTGATTTGTCTGTGTCATCGACCCCCAACCCAAAAGAGGTTCCCTACCCGGAGACAAATGGTGATCTCTGTTAATGAAAAACAATAAAAATGATGACTTACCTTATCCTTTAGCAAAATTTCATAAGTTGTCAAAAGGATATTAAATTTTAACCTCTTAGTCTGTGGATGCATCCATTCATGAGTTCGTATCTACAAAGAAAGATTGTAAATTTGTCAGAAATTAAAGAGAGAAATTTGGGATGATCATTTTAAACTTGATTAGCTTCAAATGCTATAAAAGTATGAATGTTAAATAATATACAATACTCTGATTACAGTAATTACTCGTTTAACACGTGCCCGCTTAATATGTTTTTGCAATAGCATGATTTTGGGGGGGGGGGGGGGGGGCGAAATAACATGAAAATAATCAAGTGGCAGATTACCTTGCGCCGCAGTATAAGTTGGTGAAAACAGTGGTAATACGCATGAGTGGATGAATACCTGAAGTTACAGCACTCCTCCACTCACTTGTGTTTATCTTTGTGTTGTAACAAACCGCAGTGACTTGTGTTGCTAGATAACTAATGTTGACATTGATAACCCAGCACCAACAAAAAATTGACTTTGCCACCACTACCTGAAACACAACCCCCACCTTTTCCATTATTTTTAATGGGAAAATTGACTCCGCATAGCACATTTTCACTTAGCTTGAACATTTTCAGAAACGCATCTATCATGTTAAATGAGGAATTACTGTATTTAAAAAAGCACAAAATAGAAACAAACACTATTAGGAAATAATTATACTTAGAAGCACTAAATATATATATGACAAACATTTAAAAGTATCTTGTTAGGCATACGGGCAATGTCATAAAATCATTAAAGAAAAACAGGACAGTAATTTGCTCCTAAAAAGTAGCATTTGAAGGAGGAAGCTGAAGAAAAAGTTGGTCAACTATCTTCCATTTTCAAGTACATGACAGCTTTGATCTATAAAAACATTTTAGATACATTTACAATTTATTCCAAAATAAGAACCTAGATACTATTTAATGTCATTTTTGGCCATCATTTATATTCCTCATACAAACAATCAGTAACTAACTTATAAAATCTTTTCTCTGTAATGATGTAAATCTATTCTAGTAATAGAAAAAATATTTAAAAGTTATTGTATGTTCATTATGGATCATCAATTTGTGTTCTAATTCAATTTTGTAGCTATATGATACTTGGCTATTTCATTGTTACTTTAGTAAAATAAAAGCTGGCTAAAGCCTCCTAAAGCTCAAGGAGAAAAGTAATAGGTGATACTTGGACAGTGCTTTCTTATAGAATATTCCAAGAATTTTTGGGGAGATGAAGACGTGAACATGAAAAATTAAAGGTTTTGAGTGTGAACCGGAGGGAAAAAACAGTACCGTAATTTAGCGAATATACCCGCACCCAAATATACCCCGCAGTTTTTTCTATTTGAGTAAAAAAAAAAATCTACACACGAATATAACCCGCGGGATATACAAGACTTTTCTGTGCTGGGGGTGTATTTATGGTGCGGGGGGGAGGAGAGGAGAGGGGATTAGCCACTCACCACCCCAGGTTCCAGTGCAGCTGCCAGCCTCTAAGCCTTCGGGAAGGGGAGCGCTCATCCCACAGGTTCCTCGCAGCCACAGGAAAGGGTGGGGGAGCGCTCATCCCCCTGCCCCTTCCTGTGGCTGCGCAGGAACCGGGCAGTGAGCGCTTCCCCGCCTGGAGGCTGGCGGCCAGGAACCGAGAGATGAGTGCTCTCCTGCCCCTTCCTGTGGCTGAGCAGGAACCGGGGAGTGAGTGCTCCCCCTCCCGGAGGCTGGTGGCTGCACAACCACAGGAAGAAGCGACGGAGAGCTCACCACCTGGGGAGTAAAAAAAATCTGTA